TTGGCGGGTCCAGGCTGGATTCGAACCTGCCACCTTAGGTGTATGTGGCTGGCGCCTTAGCCGCTTGAGCCACAGGCGCTGAGCCGGAGAGATATACTTTTGTCCATAATTAGTTCTAGGTATTTCTTGCATCCACCTGGGCAAGGCATTTCACAGGTGACTTTCCGGTATTTGAGCCCTTCTGAGTCCAAAAGAACATAAACAAACTCAGAATGGAAGAAATTAAACAGCTTAGGAATTTTTTTTTAACATTAAAAAGAAAGATTAGCTTAAATTGTGAAGTGGAAAAGAGTCAAATGAATTTTTGCTTTATTTAATTTAGTTTCCTCTTGGTATTGATTGAAAATATTTATAAAATTTTGTATTTACAGAAAATGTATAAAAATAGTACAGAGAGACTCTGGGAGTCCCAGGCAGGAGGATAGCTCAAGCTCAGGATTTTGAGACCAGTCTCAGCAAGAGAAAGACCCAGTCTTTACTAAAAATAGAAAAATCAGATGAGCGTCTGGGTGCGCACCTGTAATCGCAGCTACTCAGGAGGCTGAGGTAGGAGGATCACTTCAGCCCAGGACTTTGAGGTTGCTGTGAGTTAGGCTGATACCATGGCACTCTAGCCTGGGTGACAGAGTGGGACTCTGTTTCAAAAAAAAAAAAAAAGTACAGAAGGCAGTATCCAGTATACCTTTCACCCAGCTTCTTTTAATGTTAATATCTTCTATAACCATGATACATTTATCAAAATTAAGAAATTAATATTGGCATACTACTCATTCTACTACAATTTATTCTGATTTTGCATTCAATATATATTTTTTTCAGCCATTAAAAAGATGGAGACTTTACATCTTTTGTATTAACCTGGATGGAGCTGTGACACATTCTTCTTAGTAACGTATCACAAGAAGGGCAAAGCAAGTATTCAATGTATTCGATACTAATATGAAGCAAGTAGGTGAACTAATATATGTCCACAAAAGAGCATCTATTTCATTTAATTCAAGTTGGGAGGGAGAGAAGTGGAGGAGAGGGGAGGAGGAAAGAGAATTGGTGTGCTCCCCCCAACAGACATAATGTAGGGGTATATGGCTCGCCTCCTAGGTGCAGAACACAACTACAATAGGGACCTTACGTAACAAACACAAACATTGCAACCAAGTCGTTTATACCCTCATATTAATCTGAAATTAAAAAAAAAACTATTCTAGCCTTGGCCATTGGGAGTTGTTTCAAGTTGGCCCTTCTGTCCTTTTGACTTGCCCCATTTTTCCTGTCCCAACCCTTTCTCCAACTGGCCTCGGTCCTTTTTATTGAAGAGTCACATGGAGAAAGGAGATGTGGATGCTGTTTTTATAGACCTTGGGTGTCATTGCTTCTAGGCCCTACCAGTTGACAGAGCAAGGAAATACTTATGTGTGCTGTGACCCGTGTATGCACACACAGGGACATTTATTCCTGTATTTGCATTATTTACTAAAATACAGAAAAATATATGGATATGAAATAAAGGTAACTTCATACTAATATCTCCTGCTCTAATCCAGCACTGTAGGGAACATTTTAGCCTTCCCTTTTTGCATTCGTAGCTTCTTTCTTTGACCTACATTTACTTATTTGTTCAACTCTAGAGTACACTACATTGCTGACCCATGCCCCAAAGAAACAAATTTACCGTCTAGGGTAAAGTGTTTATGTAAAATCCTTTTTGTCTTTAGCTTTACAGTATCAAAAAGACTTTTTTTTTTTTTTTTTTGAGCCAGAATCTCACTTTGGTCACCCACAGCAACCTCCAGCTCTTGGGCTTCGGTAATTCTCTTGCTTTAGTCTCCCAAGTAGCTGGGACTACAGGCCCCTGCCACCATGCCTGGCTATTTCTGTTGCAGTTTGGCCGGAGCAGGGTTTGAACCCACCACCCTTCCTGGTGCTCTACTCATGGAGCCACAGGTGCCACCCTGAAGACTGTTCTTAAAGCTTTCTAAGATCAGCTCCCGAACTCCCTTCTGTGAGATTAGAGCCTGTGTTTGAAATATAATTAAATTTAAGTGTCACAGTCATCATTCCCATCTAGGATGGGAGAGATATTTGTAGTCCATTTATTTATACAAGGATTTGTTGACTTTCCAGACCCCTAGCAACCACCTAATGCTTTCTATATTTTAGTGTATGTATATGTAAGGCTCTATGTAATATTATTCAAATAATACATATTCACTGGAGAAAAATATCCCACAACTCAGGAAAGCAAAAAGAAAGAAAATTAATCCCCAGGAAGCCTATCGCCTGGAAATAACTATGATCAACAGTCTGGGGTATTTTTTTCTAGAGTCTTTTAGATGAACAAAATGGCATTATATCGTTCACATTATTTTGAACCTGATTTTTCCTTTAGCATGTTGTAAACATAAGCTAGTATTCCTTTCTCCCTCTTTTCCTAGGGATTCCAGATCAGTAATCAGAGAAGCTCAGCAAATGCTAATACAAGCGCACCAATAAACAAGTGGGACTCTTCCTGGCAAGGGGAACTGATTAATACAATGTGTGCAAACATTAATTGATGGTGTAAATTAAGAATCAAATCCCTATTTTAAAGATGTTATACACACAGTGCAATCAAGGAAAGCATTTAACCAAATTTGTTTATAAATTCCATTGTGTGCTGTTGAATAGCTAATTTATAATTGCATGAGTCTGTAAAATAATCTATTAATAAAATTG